AATATGTCTAATGTCACACAAAGTCAAAGAATTACAGGCAATCGAAAACCGGCTACAAACTGTCGGAAGAAGCAGGCAGCGAAGACAGAACTCCAGGAGAACACATAGAAGACGGAGGTGATGAAGATAACCAATGAACCAAAACAACAGCAACAGCCAGCACCAATCACCACCAATGGGAGGGATTCAACAGAGGTTACTTCCTGCCTTCACTTATCTAGGAAGCCACAATCGTTTCAGCTACATGCAGTAGGAACGAACGAAGATGTGAAAGCCAGCCAGCCAGCCAGAATCGGAAAGGCAAGATAGTCACGCCTTTATCAACCTAAAACCAGTTTGGAAATCTAAACAGCACTACGCCTCAGCATAAAGTACAAGAATTGCATTTTCAAAACAAATGTGAAGTCACTCAGTCTTCTTCTATACGCGTGAGGAAGTTGCACTGTGTGTCACGAGGAGAATTTCCAACAGCCTAGTGCGGACTTCAATCTACAGCTGCTTCCTTTACTGGCTAGTTTCATACTGAAGGTCAAATGGCCGGCCAGCCAGCCAGAAAGAATTAGCAACAAGAAACTCTGGCCGAGAACAAACCAACCAAGAGCCGATCGCTCAACAAATATGTAGGAGAAAGTGGAGATGGATTGTGCATACATTCAGAATGTCATCGAATAACATCGCGCGCAATCCACCACACTTAAGAATGTGCGTCGGTGGCACAGCGGTTAGGACGCTCGTCGACCATATACATGGTCCGGGGTTCGATGCTCGGCCGACGCATACCTGATATCCATGATCGGCCTGCTAAATTTGGGCTACCGATATCATGTGCTGAAAATTCCATACTCGTACCAAAATATTGTGTGAAATCAAGCTATAAATTTAAAAAAAAAACAATATCATCGCGGGTGATAGTCGACAGGCTGTGTTGTCTTACTCCAGTATGCACTTCGAACGCCTCGCTGAATTTTCCATTGTGAATCACCTGACTAACACGTGGCATTGCCATATAACTGTCGAATGAGGTTGATAAAGACTTAAGCACTGCACTCCGTGGTGTTGAAGAAGTTTCCAGATTACTTCTCGATCAACGCTGTCTGTTGAAGGCATTTTCGAAGTCGATGAAGTTGAAGTAGAGAGAGGTTTGATTGCTATTCTATTCTTTTTTTTGTGATGATGATGCGTAGAGTTGCAATTCGATCTACACATGATTTGCCTTTCCTCAATCCTGCTTGTTGTAGTCAGTGCGGAGAAGTTCTGTATCCAGTGCAGCTTTTATTCTCTCCAAGATGATGCGACTAAGTGTGTTACTTGGAGTGGACTAGAGTATGATTTCACGACAAACAGTCCTATTTGGCCTTTCTCTGACATCCTGAGGAGGTAGCTTTTCTTCCAGTCAGTAGGCACCTTCCCTTCATTCCAAACCTTTAGTAATAATGGCGTGAGAACGTCTGCCGCAGTCTCTGGGTCGATTTCTAGTGTTGGGATTCCTCTGTTCCTGCTGCCTTTCTAGCTAGCCTTCAGTAGCTTGATTGCATTTAGGACTTCTTCTTTCGTTGCAGGAGTTGTGTTCACTGGCATTTCCGTGCGTGCTATTGGTGGTATTTCTGGACGAGTTGCCGGTGGTGGTCGATTCAAGAGTCCTTTAAAGTGATCAGCCCATTGTTTGATTTGTTTCTTCTCTTTGGTGATCAGGTTCCCTTGAGCATCTTTTATTGGTTTCATCATCTGGGATGATCTCTTCCCGCATAACGAGCAGTCTGATTATCTGATACAATGTTCTGACATGTTTTCAACCTGTCACCCGCCTGTTTTGCTTCACTTGCCGATTACTGTGTTGTACAATCGTCTTTCGTCTTTCCCAACACTCTTCTTTACTCCTCTCCTTATTCAGTGCAGTGTACATTGAACTCAGCTTCTCCTTCTCCATCTTCTCCATCTTTGCATTGAGTCATCTTTCTTTCACCATCCTCCTCTCGTCTCCTCTCCTCTCTTTGATTAGCTTCGAGGTAGATGTCCGTTGACAGTCATTCCTTTTCATGTCCCTTCCTTCTTCCTAGAACAGTCGTCCACGTTTCCTTGAATATCTCCCTGAGAGAATTCCAAAGTTCTTCCACGCAGGTTACCTCAGTGATACCATGTGGTGTCTCCGGCTTTGCTCTGATCTGATCTGTAGTGAAAGCATCCCTACTAGTTTTGTCCTTCAGTTTCTGAATGTTGAACTTGAATTACAGTGGTCTGTCTCCATTTGTTTTGAGAGATTTCAGCTTCACTTTGAAGGTTCCTTGAAGTAGATGATGGTATGATCCGCCCACATCTGCTCCCCTTCTCGATTTTGTATTCAGCAGGCTGACTGCGTCTCCACTTCCTTGAATAGAAGCATTGAGATGAAATCTATCTGGTTCAGGTAATATTCGTCAAGCTAATTCCGTGTCGCTGGCCTTGTGTATATCCTTGTGCTTTTACACGCTCTCTCCAATCACCAAATCATTGAAAGCGCAGAAGTCTGCGAACTATTCTCCGTTCTCACTCATTCCTCCGCGCGAGATCCTCTTTGCCCATGATGGATTCTCCTCCTGAAATGCCTGCTCCCAGTTTAGCATTCATATCACCCATTGTGATTTTGATGTCACCGTTTGGGATGTTGTTCATTACTTTTTGCAGTTGTCTATAAAATTCTTCCTTCTTCTCTTGTTCTGCGTTGTTTATAGCACTGTGTATAGCATTGAATAATTGTACCCTTCCTTCCTTTTGAGTTGAATCTTGCCATCATAATCATTCAGGAAGAGATTGGTTCCCACTACAATAGGGCTTTGGCTGCCACCTGGTGACATTATGATAGCCACTCACTGAGTCAGTGTGCTTATGGTTGTTATCTAGGTGACTGGAGTAGATTATTGACTCCCCCAATTGACAACTTGCATAATCCACATCCGTTCCATCTACTCTCGCAGATATCCAGCACTTCTAAGCCACATCTTCGCATCTCTTTGGCTATGTGGGCAGCCTTCCTAGTCTCATACATTGTACGGACATTGCATGTACTTATTCTTACTCTTGCTTTCATCGAGAGAAGACATATCGGCTGGCTAGCTGGCTTCCAGAATATTTTTAATATATTTTCTGTGTGTTGAAGTTTCTTAAGCAGTTTGAAAGATTTAGTGGTGTGCGGTTGCTAGCTCTACGCCCAATTCTCCCTCTTTACGCGGAACTGGGACTGGCTAGAAAACTAGCGAGCTAGTTAACTAGGTTAGGTTTTATCTCTACGTACATAAACCTTATTATAAGTATTTTGTTTACATTATAATCATCGTTATTGCTGATGTTCAAAACATTCAGCACATTATTTTATCCACAAAAAGATTTCCTTATATAAACCTATATAAATTAGTATAATGCCCGAAGAAGATCTAATTGAAAACAATATTGTTTGCTTATTTGTCTTTTTCCAAACTGTAAATTCATTTCATGTCTTTCTGTATACCCCATTCGTCATCATGTACTAATCTCGACTATACGGATTTAGAGAGATGTTTTCCTACCACATAGTTTGTTCTAGATGCTCACTGAAGACTGATGTGAACTACGCATCCTTCTATTCGTTTGAACACTCAAACGACCATCTAATATGCTACTGGTCATGATTATTTATCGCAGCTGTAACCTAGTGACTTGCAAAAATTTGTCCTACAGGAGGTTAGCAGTGATACCTAGAAGTAACGTCTCTGGTTTCAGCACTGGTAAATTCGAGTGCGAATCTCTGAGTAGACGCTGTTTTCCCCAAAAATCACCTTCCCAATAAGTGTCAGTAACCATAAGGTGTAGGTTCCGCGCTTCCTGCCTTTAACCACCCAACATTAGTCTAATGTGTCCCGTGATTGCTAATCCCCTGGCTTGTTGACTACACATCAAACTAAGCTGCAAGCATTTAATAAGCAATAACATTAAGGACTGGACACATGATACTGGTTACTCCCTAGTGACCAGTGGATATGGAGATATTAGTATCACCTTGCGTTACTACGAACAAGGCAGTTCATTTTAGTCACACTGCACAGTTTCTGCGCTCTTTCACGTTTAAATTCTTCAGAAATCATCCAGATAAACTGCTTCGATGCGTGTCGTATGCTATTTAAAGCTAAGTGTATTTATACTGCGTAAGAACTGATTTTTTTAAGAACCATAAAGCATGAAACAGTTTTTCCTCTCTTTATCATGAAATCAATTGAGATTATGCATGAAAATTGGGGTTAGGTAAATTATCGTTGAATATAATTTATGTTAGTTTATATATATATCACATGCTGTATACAAAGTTTCCAAATAACGGCATGTATACTCGGCAGCTATTGATCTGTTATCCAAATATAAATTTCAGCATTCATATTTTAAAGGCAACTGTGTCAGTTCTGGCGAGGATTAAGTTAGGGATCCAGGTAGGTTCGAACATCCTGCTATTCCTCATTGATTAATTTGCATGATACATGGTTATTTTTCCTCTTATACATAGACTTCAAAAGAAAAATGTTTCACACAAAACAGCTGATGTCGTATCTGTAATCCATACAGCTGCCAACTACTTCCATCACTAAATCCTGATGAAATAGTAATTAATCCTAGAGAGATTGTACAGCACTTGATTGTTTTCACAGGTCATATAAGCTGAGTAAGGTGAAGAAAAGTAGACCATGAAGTTGTAATTCGAAAGCTGCACACATTGGATTACAGAATACCTGTCTTCAAATGCTTTTGTAGAATGTAACCAATCAGGCGATTGCACTTTTAAACATGTCTCTTGCTTCTATTAGTGCTTTTTATAGTAAACTCAGATGTTTGATTGTTTTAGTTAAGAAAGCGTGTCGAAATAAAATTTAGCATTACACAAGAAGTACTTACTCCGAAAAACATTTTCGTGATATCTCTATGAACGTAATGTTAAATTACTGAAACCCATAATAACTGCTACGAATAATCTTTTGCTTTATATTTTCTTACTTTTACAGAACTCAGGTAGTCACAGTCTATTGGAATCCAAAACTAATTTAAGCACATCAAATTCAGAGGGTACTAGACGCCTAGAAACGCCTCCACCAAGTTATTCAGATTTAAAGCTATTGAATTCATCTTCTCGAGATCATCTACTCACCAATAATGCTGACAGTATAAATTCTAACTACACGCTACTCTCAAAAGTTCCCGATCCACTGCACACTCACAATTCACTTGAAACGTATAAAAATCATTTAATCAGTAAAAGTGCGGGTGGTAATAATGCTGATAAATGTAAGAACCTGATTTCAAATATGCCAAATTCTATTACAGATGAAGAGAAAAGTTATTCAGGTAATACACATGCTGAGACAGATAAATCTACAGAACAAACTGATTCCTATCGAGAGGTTATACTTCAAAGACACGATGCTACTGAACGCTTTGGTATGCGGCTGGAAAGAACTAAAGGCGTAAGACAAGTAAGATTTTTAGCTGCTGTGATTTTCGATTCAGATATATAATGAAATATTCAGTGTGATTAACAACATTATTTTCATACTAACGGAAAGATATCAGTTTATATGCGTAGAAAAACTGTAGTAAAAGCTTCATACCACCTGTCCTACTAGAAATTATTTTTGTTTCGGTTATATGACGAAAATGATATATAATAAAATATGGTCAGTTCTTCCTTGGTCTTCAGTGTGAATGACTTAGATGAAAATCATTTGCTACTTATTGATTTTAAAGTCCTAACCACGAAAATTTGACATAAATCGACCCAACAATGTCCGTCATTATCAACAAGATGAGAATACAATTATTTTTGCTCTATACAACCATGCTGGACATCTCTCTTACTGATATTCCCGTGATTTGACACGTGATGCTACCTGAAAATCACCTATGGATTCATGGCTAATTACATTTTAATTAAAAATATCATTTTCTTTTAAAAGACATTTAAATCAGGCAGAAAATTTGTAATTTAAATTTTAACTTCGTTTTTGTCATATCAAATCACTTGTCTCTTCTCTACACTATCAAACTAACCATCCAACCTTTTTGAATTGTCTTCCAGTTGAAAAGACGGGACACAAACTTGAGTGAAAACAATTTTTTTAGTGTTACAGATTACTTTTCTTGATAGTGTTTGGATAAATTCTTATCATGTGGCTAGGCTAAAAGCTAAATGAGAACTCTTTTTTATCTCAAGTTATTTGTAATTTATCAGTAGATTTAAATACACATCTTTTTATCATTTATATCAACAAATGATAAGAATTCTTTGGATAGGTAAATAGCACTATAATCTTTGAGGCGTGTTATAAGACTTGGATCTCTTGAGAGACACTGATCCAGTGTCGTTTCTGCTTGAACTGAATTCCTGAGGAACTAATGTGCTTTGCAGGACGTTAGATGATTTTAGTTTTGTTATGCAGCTATTTCTGAGACCTCACGAGTAATAGTAGATTTTTCTTTCTGGTTGTAATCAAATATATAGTGTGGTGGATTCGGTTTTATTCCTTATAAGTGGGTTATATCCGATCACGGGCAGTAAGAGATTCATAGAATTTCTGTAAATTCCTACCGATTTAAAACAGATCATTGGAACACATTTCAACAGATTAGGAAATGAGCAGAAGTAAGGATAATTACAAACAGCAGTAGAGAGTTAGATATTGGTTACAGGATTTCATCATGAGCTGACATTAGTTAGAGAACCATTGGAAAACCTGGGAGTACTGCACAGCTGTTTCCTTAGTCCTAGTTTGGGACTCTTCATCAGTACGCACCCACCGGGATTCGAACCCAGGACTTTCTGGTTTACAAGGCGAGCTCGTATACCATTAAGCCACTGGGACCCGATCCAATGGCCCATGAATTCTAACTTCTGCCAATTCACGACATAGCGCGACCCCTAGCCAATGTCTTGGGCGAGTATTTTTCCTCACGCCCGATCTGCTGCACCCTACTGGTCACGACTCCTCACTAGAACTTCAGGTAACTACCTACCTGAATGAGGCAAGTCACTAGTGAGCATCTCATTGATATTCAAGTGTTGGTTTGTAGGGATTTGGTTGATTGGTTACAAGATTTCATCATGAGCTGACATTAGTTAGAGAACCATTGGAAAACCTGGGAGTACTGGACAGCTGTTTTGTCCTAGTTTGGGACTCTTCAGCAGTACGCACCCACCGAGATTCGAACCCAGGATAGTTAGATATATTTCCATTGGTTTTCATCAAAAAGCATGAACATTTTTTGGAGTTTCCCTATATAATAAAACCTAATTTTTTCAGCTATGAAAGAAAAATTTACCAGTTTTATTGATTTCAAAAATTGTAGGTGACTTATATAGCAATGATACTTCCAAGATCACCAGCTCAGCTGGCTGGACTGAAGGTTGGTGATCGTTTAATTCGTGTCAATGAACTCGAGACAGATCAGATGCTACTAGAAGAATTATTGAATTACATAAGGAAGTCTGATGGACCGTTGTATCTTTATTATCAAACAAGGTGAGTAGTGTTCAATGTTTTCTATTAACTTAAAATTTCACTTCAGCCATCAATAACTCCAAATAAGTTTCCTATTCCTCGTCTGTATAGCATTAAAGCCATATGTGTCTACAGTAAATATTCATCTAATTTGCTTTGATGTTCAGAATTAGCGATAAGCATATTTAATACAAGAAAAAAACTGAGTATTTATTTTGTTAATATCAGTCAGAAACCCTATAGGAAAATAAAGGCTGAGAAGATTTGTAGTATTTCATACAAAAATTAGACTAGACAGTAATCAGCTTGAAACTTTTGGGGATATTGTTGAAAGCTTTGTCAACTAGGCTGTTAAACCATGAGGGGCGCCTCCCACACAACTGTTATTATTTGACATCACATGTGTGAGATTTTAGTTTACAAGTCAGTTTTCTTATTCATGAAGCGTGAAGTGACCGTTTTGTTAAACCACTTACACTGAATATAGTTATCAGTAGGAATTTCACAACATACGTTTCTAGTTTATGATAATTTTAGTAACATTTGTTTGAACACTGAACCATAGATGAATATGGAGATAACCTTCAGAACTGACAGCAGTGTGCTTGTAGCGTAAAAACGAAGCACATAAAGCGGCAAAATTATCATTATTTCGCTCGAAGTGACCAATTTAACCAACAATATGAGTTAAAGCATAAGGAATAAGTGTGCCTCAAGAAACGCGAATCCCCAAATACCTAGCAGTCCTTAGAATATTAAAGCGATCTCAGTGATTTTCAATCGTTATCTGAGCCTTTTAATAGCTCATTTTGCCTAGGATTTCCTAACTTTTACACTGTTAGCATAAAGTATAAAGATTCACATCTAGTCAAAATATGGTGAAATTAATCAAATGCATTATAATTTAATTATAGGGAACTGGTTTTATCAAAATTCACAAGTGTATATATAATTGCAGAAAAAAAAAGAATCAACAGACAAAAAGCTGACGTTATTTTCTCGCCAGCATAAACCAATCAATCAGCCATAAAGAAACAATCGATACATCTGAAATTAAATAAATGTAACATTTTGTTTGGTCTATGATAACCACTTTCTACACACGTTTACTCAGGAGAAAGTGAGTAGGATAAAATTTACTTAATATAGTGTGAGTGGTTTTCTTCATTAGGAATTTTCTCAGGGTAAATTTTAAGTTAGTTTTCATACCCGATGAGGTAGCTGAGTTAGTAGTCGAAAACTGTTTAGTGATTGGTTCGCTCACCATGGTGTCATAAAATGACCGAAACCAATTATAAAATGTAGTCCATTCATTTCAGTCACAGATGATTGTGGAGCAAGCGCAGTTGATCTATAAGTTTCACAAACGAAAAACGCAAGAACTTGGATGGTATTAATAGCAGGCATGAAGCATATTTCAATCGTATACTGGCATTATTTAAATGGAAGGTTGTTGTTTATACAAACTGATTTAAAAGACTGTACGAAGACATGTAAAGCACACTGAAAGACTAATTCTGTCTTTTTCTAACTTTTACTCAGAATATAAACTTCAAAAATCATAGATTCCGTAGAGATCTCGCAGGATCGCATGCCTTATAAAATCTAGTGAATTAAATTAAACCAGATTAGATTAAAAAGGATATTGCGTTGATGTTTGTATAAGTGTGACATTATTTAAGGCCGTCGAAACAACCCAAGCACAAATTACCTACATAGATCAGTGAAATGTCTGACATCCCTTAAAACAAGTTTTTTTCAACACACGACTTCTAATTTTGTCGATAAAGTCACCCTTGTACGTTAATGGACACTTTCCACTGATTGGAAACTGGTTAAATTGTGTTATATGTCTAGTCTTTTATTTGGTATCAGCTCAATCCTACCAGTAAAGTCTTCAGTGTGGCCAGCATTTTAAGTAGCTAGCCATCACTGTGCACTCTTAATTATTGATATTGGGTGGTTGTAGGCAATATGCAGGAAGCACTAAACCTAGGTTTTGTGATTATGTCACTAACGGCAATGAAGGCCCTCATGAAATGAGAGGCAATCTCGCCCTGGATAATGACCGCCAGATTCAACTCAAAAGGAAGGAAAGTGTCAGTTATGCAATGCTGTGCACCCACAAACAACTCAGATCTCGAAAAGAAAGGAGAGTTCTATAGAAAACTACAGGCAACAATGGACAATACTCCAGTCAGTACATTAAAATCTTAGTAGGAGACATGAACGTCTAACTGGGACCAGAGAACACATAAATAGAACTCATCATGGGTGGAAAAGCTCTCGGAGAGATGAATGAAAACGGAGAACTCTTCACTGACAGATGTGCCTTCAATGAACAAGTGATTAGTGGCAGCGTATACAAGCACAAGGATATCCACAAAGCTACATGGGTGTCACCAGACGGGCGAACCAAAAACCAAACTGACTTCATCTCAAAGCTGCTCAGGGAAGTGCAGACGCAGCTTACTGGACACAAAAGTAAGAAGAGGAGCAGACATTGGCTCAGACCGCTATCTCGTGCAAGGAACACTGCAAATCAAATTCAAAACTTTCAAGGAAACAGTAGCTGCAGATAGACCACAAGCCAAGTTCAATACTCGAAAACTGGAGAATCAGGATATCTTCAATGCATTCATAAGGAAAAAGGCGGAGACACAAATCAAAACTAGCGAAGAGACCAGCGTTGAAAAAACACTGGAACAGCCTGAAAGCGGTGTGGAATCAAACCCGCATGGAAGTTCTAGACAGAGAGAAAAGACAGGGTAAACAGTAGCTCACTACGAACACATGGAGACTCATAGAAGAGAGAGGGATGGTGAAACAAAAGATTATCCAGTGTATCGAAGAGAAACAAAAACAAGAGTTGAATGCAAGCTACAACACACTGAACAAAGGAGTAATGAAGAGTGCCAGGGAAGACAAAAGGAAATATTATGAAGCTATGGCAAGTGAAGCAGGACAAGCTGCAGGCAAGGGAAACCTCGCAAGACTCTACCAAACAACTAGGTACCTATCGGGAAACGTTTGACACAAATTCAGCCGCTGAAGGATGACAATGGAAAGTCACTCACCAAAGAAGTGGAGCAAAGGAAACACGGGGCTCAACACTTCAAAAGACTCCTAAATCGACGAACACCTACAACGCGCCCAACATCGGAAGCAGAACTACCAGTGAACATCAACCCTCCGACGAGAACAGCAATCCTGAAGGCCGTAAGGATGTTGAAAACTGGAAAAGCAGCAGGACCAGATGGAATCCCAGCAGAAGCATTGAAAATGGACTCAGAGACAACAGCGGATTTGATGACACCACTACTGGAGGAGGTAAGAAAAGAGGGCAAGGTACCTATGGATTGGAAGAAAGGATACTTATTCAAACTGTCAAAGAAAGGAGACTTAAGTCAATGCAAGAACTGGCGCGGAATTATGCTCCTGTCCATCCCAAACAAAATACTAAGCCGCATCATCTTGCAGGGAATCAAACAAGCCAACCGGGATTAAAAACTTTGATCGGAACAGGCTGGATTCAGGAGAAACAAGTTATGCATTGATCAGATCGCCACATTACGGATCATCATTGAACAGAGCTTGGAATGGCAGTCAGCTCTCTATCTCAACTTCATTGACTTTGACAAGGCCTTCAGCAAACGGCGTCGATCGAGAGGTGATTTGGAAACTACTTCGCTACTATGGGGTGCTGCATGCAATTATACATCTCATCCAACAGCTGTACGAAAATGCTGCATGTCAAGTAATCCACAACGGGAAACTTACGGAACCCTTCGAAGTGAAGACGGGAGTAAGACAAGCTGGCTGCCCACTATCTCCAATGGTTTTCCTGATTGCGATAGACTAGATAATGTGACAGACAGACAATGGGCAACGAAGAGACAGGCATAAAATTGAATCGCACAAAACACTTGGAGGATCTGGACTTCGCCGATGATATATGTCTGATTCTCCACAAACTGGAAGATATGCTAGTGGAAAGCGACAAGTTGGCAGAAGAAGCATCCACAGAAGATAGGACTCCAGGTGAATATAGAGAAGACAGAGGTGATGTAGATTCCTGGCCAACAGCAACAGCCACAACAATAACAACAGACAACAATCAGCCAGCATAAATGGGAGGAATCTGGAAGAAGCAACGTCATTTTACCTACCTACCTACTGGGAAGCATCGTTTCAATTACAGACGGTACTAACGAGGATATCACAGCGAGGATAGGAAAAGCAAGGCAAGCTTTCGTTTCTCTCAAGTGTGTGTAGAGGTCAACAGCACTCACCATGAAAAACAAGATGCGGATTTTCAACTCCAATATGAAGTCAGTGATACTATACGGATCGGAGACTTGGCGCATCACGAAGGCATGTGGACAGATGTGGAGCCCGGTGAAAAAGTTGGTGGAGAACCAGACGCATTGAAGACGTGCAGCTGAAGCCCTATGTTCCTCTAGGAACTAAAGGAAACAATAATAATAATTTGTGCTTGCTTGCAAATCTTAGCCCTTAGACCTAAGGTTTGTGATGTAGCGTCAAAAAAATGAATTGAACACGAAAGTCCAATTTGAGAATTCAATCAACCAGATAAAAGATCTGATCCCAACCTCATATGACAGTTCAAAGCTTTTCAAATCAACCATTTTAAATTTCTATCTCGATTACATGAACAAAAACGCCAGCTTTCGTAATTTACTCTCCAAAAAACATCAAAAGCAGCCAAAAGAACTGAAAGATAATGAAAACTTGATCATGAGACGGCCAGATAAAGGTTCCGGAATCGTCTTCATGAACAAATCAGACTACCTAAGCAAGCTATCGGTGATACTGTCAGGTGATAAAAAGTTTCAAAAACAGTCTCCATAGATAGATCCCACCGAACAGACGGAGCTCCAGCTAACAAAGATATTGAAAAAAATGAAAAACGAATCCATTGTCAGTTCAAAACTATATGAATAACTGCGTCCATCTGGTTCTACAACGTCGTGCATGTATGGCTTATTTAAAGTGCACAA